TTGTCCCAAGTTCAAAATGTTGAAATGATTACTAATTGTTTGTAAAGTAAGCCACGCAGGCTAATTCGCATTCCACGCTAATTCTGGGTTAGCCGTTCATACCGCGAGCCCCAAGCTCACAATTCAGGTTGCTAAGTAACAAACAGTATCTCCATGACAACCAACTGATGCCACGAGACCTGAAGATCTCAAACTATATCAATTTCATAACTGCTTAAAGTGCATTTGACAGAAATAAGAGTTTTTTGCTTGATGGAATCTACATGAAGTCATACCGGTAATATAGAATCGGACAAAAAATGGACATCGGGTGTTTTTCTTCGCCGCGTTTTAGCCCTCCGAAAACGTAAAATTTCACTCCTAGTTTGGTCAGAAACTCTGGGGTCTAGGGCCTAAGAATCAGGCTGTGAAATCAAAGCAAGAACGCAGGTCTCCATATCTTACGTGAAAGTTTACAATTTTTGAACCACTATTGGAACTACACCCCGAACGTCTAATGCCTAATACATTTCACTATTTTTTTTTCTTTTTTTAAAATTTTTTATGTTTGGCTTGAAAGATATGTCGACCTACGTTCTTCCGTTGACGTCACGGCTTAACTAGACCCAGGCCTCCACCTCACGCGGTTTCTGACCAACAGGAGGTGAAATTTCCTATTTTCAGATGGCTAAAACGCGGCGTATAAAACACAATATCCATTTTTGTTTTCGATTTCCATAACAGATCTCGTCTGGATTCCATCAAGTAAATAAAAAAAATTATGTCATATACACCTTAAAGCTGCGCGTCACCTGTACGCGAGGACACTTTACTAGCTATTGCTATTCAAGCAAACATAAAAATTCCAAAATCGGGAACTTTATGCTCAGCTTACGGCGAAAATACCTCTTAATCCTCATACATAGTTTTCGTTCTCTTTAAAATTATCACTAGTAATTGGTGCCTAAAACAAATCGCTAGACAAAAAGAGCAGAGCTCCATATTTTTCTTTAAAAAATTAGGAGTTATAATATATCTACACGGTCGTAAACCCCTGATCTCCTGGAATCCAGGAAAGTCTCGTTACCAGGCTCTCTCTTCCCGTCATCCTCTGGAGCGATAAAACAGAGACCCTGGGAACTAGGGTGGGTTCGGACCAAGCTGGTTTAGACATCCTTGGCGTTGTTGTTTGATTCATCAGGTTTTGCAGATCCAGATCCAGATCCGAGTTGAAGGTTTTTCATTCGATTGATGGCTGCCGTCGCGTTAAACGCTTGCTGCAAGTTAAGAGAAATTTTGTCAACTCCTAATTCCGTAATATTGCAACACTGCAATATATAAGTTGTGCTCGAGTTCTGACTAGGTAATCACTTTCTACTCAGTATTTCGACACTTTTTTGGAGAAAACACGATTACGCCCGTCACAAAAAAATAGCTAGACAGTACTGTGTGTTTTTCTTTTTAGTTTATCCCAAGCCTGGTTTTTATGCTGCTCGATCCATTCTATTTGTTACGAGTGAAGGACTCTCAAAAAAGCCTTACAGGAACTATGCATAAATACCATCGTAAACTTCTCCTCAGGTAGAATTACCCATCCCTCCCCCGACCTTTTCGCTACTAAAGACAGGGCCCCAACATCCTCTGTTTGACTTAAATCTTAAGAAAACTTTTCTATACATCACCTTCCACTTTGCCTTGTAAAAGTTCTTCTTTATTTGTTCACTAACTGACGCGTGAATATCGCGCTGGAGGGCCATACCACCGGAAATCCTGCAAATGAAAGGTAAAAACGTTGTCACGCAAAGTCACTCCGCCGCGTCGTCGTTCTCCTACTTCCTCACAGACGGATCCGCCATTTGATGCGTAGACTGCAAAACAGCCGCGGTTTTGCGAACACGTGCGTTCTTGAAACGAAAGGTCTGGGGCGAGGATCAAACCGGCGTTACTTTTTTTGCGCCTTACGCGCCCCTTGCAAACCTTGCGTGACGACCCTAATAACGGTTGCGGAGGAGACTACATCCTCCTCCCTTGGGCCACATGGGTGGCGCCGGCAACGGGGAGGCGTTGTGTGACAAACAAATGCAAGGTTGTAGAGTACGTAAAGAAACACAAACACGTGCAAGGGACATACTGGTATAATTAAATGAACATACCATGGATGAGCGAGAGCCTGCTTGCAGGTGTAGCGCCGTTTAGGTTCAATTTGTAATAAACACTTTATGAAATTCTTTGCTGACAAGAAATAGAAAGAAAATCAATGTCAAACTACTAAAAAAAAAACCGTTTTCTCGCAATAAGCGTAGTAAGATGTAAAGGGGTGGTAAATGGTTGTCCAGATCACGTTTCTCGGAAACCATAACGGTTCTTTTCAGTACCAAAAGAGAGCCACCCCTAATGCAACAGCTAAAGTAAAAGTTGCCACATGTAGGTATCCGATTAGCCCCCGATTGTACCTGTCCGAAAAAAAGAAAGAAAAATCGCACGACGTCCCGTCGACGTTGACGACATGTATAGTACAGCAGTTTTATATAGCCAGGTGACCCATCAGGCCGGAGCTTGTCCCGGTTCCTGTAGCATGAAGCGACCAGGAATAATTTCTACTTCCCCCTCGGGATGGGATGCTAGTCCATCGCAGGGTTACTCCCAGCATTAAATTCGCCGGTACCCATTTATACACGTGGGTGAAGAGAGGCACGGTGAGAGTAAAGTGTCTTGCCCAAGAACACGACGCAGTGACCCTGGCCAGGGCTCGAACTCGCACCGCTCGATCCGGAGATGAGCGCACTGACCATGAGGCCATCGCGCCTCCCACACT